GTGGGGTCACGAGTTTCAAATTTCTTGTAGTTATTTAACAGATAATGTTATTTAGTGGGTCACGAGTTTCAAATTTCTTGTAGTTATTTAACAGATAATGTTATTTAGTAGGGTCACGAGTTTCATTGCAACATTCAATTTTAAACAAATACATGCCGTAATTCCAACACTAGTCGGAACTGCCAATCAACGCGTGCATGGCAGCGCACTATCTTCTCTTCAGTTCGGCTGATGTGTGCAAGGAGAGTACGTTCTCCTTAAGTGACGTGTTCTTCAGAGCGGCCACGCCGGCGGCAACTGCAACTCCAGTAAAACTCGAGTCTCGTGATTTGTAGAAGTGGACAGACTTTGTGTGTGTGTGTAAATCTACCATTAACTATTACAGGTGAACAACAGCTGCTGCTGTTTAGATGAAAACAACGAAGGACGATCAAGGGGTAGTTTAGGGATGCAGTCTGGATTCGAGTGTCGACTACTGTACCTAGGGCCGCCCTAACCATGGCAGCGGCGAGAATCGGCCGGAGGTCCACAGCGGTGGCCGCTGATATGTACGAGCCGATCTCTGTAGTGACATCTCGGCCGCCTGACAGCCAGTCCGCTTCTTCAGCCGACTCCGGCAGCTTCACCGAGTCACAGTCGAGCAGCAACGATGACGACTATCTGCCCTACCCGGGTTTCATGCCGGTTGCTTTGCACTGTTTCCAACAAACCACATGGCCCAGGACCTGGTGTCTCTATCTTATCACCAGCCCATATCCTTTTGTTTTGGCTGATAAATAGTAGTTCATGGTTCGACGACAACAGGTTGGTTTATGTTGAGTTATGATCTTGTAGAGAGGTCAGAGAATTAGCGGAATAAGGTTTTCAAACCACAAGTGATTGCGAAGAGCGCAGTATTTAAAGTGATCATATATTAAAAACTACTTTCATAGGACAGTTATGCCCAAACTTTCTGGAATAAAACTTATGACTCTCAACTGGTGAGATTTAACTATTCTACGATAAGTGGTTTTTAAGATATAATCATTTTAAATATGGGGTTTCTCAAACTGCTCTGAACAACAAATCCGAATCTGCTTTTTTAATCTTATCACAGTTCCGGGTAAACATTCTTTGTTAAACAACAATAATTACATTTAAAACTATAGAAATTAAAATCATTTTCTTTTCAACAATTAGATAACAAGCAAAAGTAATTAAGTAAGAAACGGTTTGAAAACATAAATATTGTGAGGGAAACTAAACGTGCTTATGTTCTGACAGCTTGACTACTTACCATTGATGTGAAACGTTTGACAAATTCTTCTGGAATATGTGATTACTCTGAAACCGTGTATCGATCATTTATCCTCCCTGGAGCTAAGTGTGAGAGAGTTCTAGTCTAAGTTCCAAGCTGGATTATGTTCCTAAACTTTAAACACGTTAACCAGTTTTCGATTACCACCACACTTACTTTAAATTACATTAAAAATTAATGTAATTGTTTCGGGTATATCTGTTTATTATATTCAGGGCTTTCCTATGTCTACTCATATCGTTATTAAGGAAGTAAACTTCTCATCAGATAGATCTTTGTATTGAAGTTCTCGAGAACAGAAAACCATAATACTGTTAGCATGCTGACTGTGCATGGCTTACAGTTTCACGAAACGCGAAGTCTCACCATTGAACAGCATAGAAAGGAATTTTAAGTCATTTCTATATATGTTGGGTGCACTGAAATACGTACCTATAAACAGCATATTTAATAAAGACTAAAAAATTAAATATACACTCCTGTTTGTGCACAAAAACTATCATGATAATCACTGTCTAACATGTGTTTTCCAAAGCCTATATGATAAATGTTGTCGTTACAAGTGCGCTAGATTCAACACCGCATTTAAACTCTTCACCAATAAGCACAACGAAAAAACGAGAAATTTGTGGTTGAGTTAGAAATGATATATTACTAAGAAATTAAGTAGAAGAATAATAACGTAGAGAAATTATGTATAACCAAGGGGTTTGATAACACTTGGATATAACATATTACAACCTGGAGTCTGGGGATTGATAACACTTGGATATTACAACCTGGAGTCTGGGGATTGATAACACTTGGATATTACAACCTGGAGTCTGGGATTGATAACACTTGGATATCACATATTACAACCTGGAGTCTGGGATTGATAACACTTGGATATCACATATTACAACCTGGAGTCTGGGATTGATAACACTTGGATATTACATATTACAACCTGGAGTCTGGGTATTGATAACACTTGGATATTAAATATTACAACCTGGAGTCTGGGTATTGATAACACTTGGATATTACATATTACAACCTGGAGTCTGGGTATTTATAACACTTGGATATTACATATTACAACCTGGAGTCTGGGTATTTATAACACTTGGATATTACATATTACAACCTGGAGTCTGGGGATTGATAACACTTGGATATTACATATTACGATCTGGAGTCTGGGGATTTATAACACTTGGATATTACATATTACAACCTGGAGTCTGGGTATTTATAACACTTGGATATTACATATTACAACCTGGAGTCTGGGTATTTATAACACTTGGATATTACATATTACAACC